AAGTAAATTTAAAAAATGAGGCTATGTTTTACCTTTTATCACTAATATTTGTGCATAAATTATTGGATTAATGACTGATTTATTGTATCGAATTATTAAATCAATAAATTGACTTACAATGTTTTTGGTATATATACCTTGAAAAGTATTATTAGTTTTTTATTAAATCATAGTTTATCTACATACAGTACAGAATATTTTGCATGTGAAATATAAAAATCAGGAAGCAAAAGTGATGTGAAAAATATCTCTATTTCGACTAAAAAAATTTGATTGAAGGTGGAATCCGACACCCGAAGAACTTTTCCAAGGTGCAGTGCTAAGAAGCTGTAAAGGAGCTGATGGCATTAAACATATAGTTACAGAAAGTTTCAAAAATTTAAATTCAACTGTTAAAGGTCTATATTTCGGCGCAAACTGGGTGATTGCACAATCTATATTTCATTTTTTGTGTGTGTTTTTATTACATCGGTTTTTTGAAATTATTATCTTTAGTGCCCACCCTGTCGAACATTCGAACAGCACCTGATCTCTTGTTACGAATCACTCAAAAATGCCGGTGTCCCATTTGAAATATTCTTTTGCTCATCGGATAGGTTAATGACTTACAGTTTCCATCATTATCGTTGATCATAAAGCGTACATATTCTTCATAATCACTCAAAAATACTCAAAAATTTTCACTTATTTACATATTATCAAAAATCTCATCGTTTATATTAATTTGCATTTTAAATATAATTTTACCAATAGTTACATTTGCAATAAATTTCAAATATATAATTGAATAGCGTATAATAATTCATTATTTTAATGTTGGGTGGCTGAGTAAATAAATTTGCAATTTTAAAATACTGATTAGTAAGCATTCTCTAATCTTGATGGATTTCTTGATTTTTGCTTCGCATGGAAATATAAGTTACAAATTTTAAAGACAGCTACTAATTTACTCAAAAGTAATAGCTTTGAATAACATAGATGTCGTTTTCAGGTCTCAGGAATCATTTGAACAACATTTTTTAACTATGCCGTGGTTGGCTTTTCCATATGATCAGCAGAAAACAATTCAACTTACTCGTCTGTATAGTGTTAATGGCTAGTTATTTTGCGATATATTTCTATCATATTTAGTTTGTGAATTATTTCGAGGGATATATTCAGAATATGAAGAAAAACAAGTTTTGTTAGATAACGTATTTAACTGACAAACTTATTAGAGTTTTGATCTGAAATATTTTATTCGTGAAGAAATGAATGATTGACTAACTAGAAAATATTCTGGTGAGAAAAAAAATTCTTTTTTATCATAAACTAATTTAGAGCTTTCAGGCATTCCAGCATTGTTGATATTAAATGAAAAAAATAGTATAATTTCCAAGCATGGTCGTAATGTTTTACTTAGTGATCCATCAGGCAGTTTATTTCCCTGGGGTCCGTTACCAGTCTATGAATTAAATGAAAATACGTTATGCAAGCTAAGAGATGAACCCTCCCTAGTTCTCTTCACAGGTAAAGCCAATTCAAGCATGATTTATAATTCCGCAAGAAAAAATTATTGTTTAGAATCATAATTTGTTTTTGTTTTTCAGAAGGTTCGCCCGAAGATATCACGTTTTCGGTAGAAGTTTTGCGTTCTACCGCTGATTCGCTTTTTCGGGAACGACAAGAACTAATGATTCGGCGATCATCATCGAAAGAAAGTGATACTATTGACACGATTGGTAGTGCTAATGGAAATGCAGATTCAAGCAGTTCTAATTTGGCATATTCTACAAATTCTGTAGACAGGTAGTTTTTTTTGAATATTTTTTCACTTTGTTTAATAGAAATTTTGTATCTTTCATTATTGATTCATAAAACAGAATGTTCAGTAATTGAATTAGATATAAAATTAATCTTATATGAAACTATGGGCATGATTTTAATTAACAAATTTAGCTCAGTCTCATCGGATATATCACTACCTCCTTGGATTGATTCATTGCAAATATTTTACACGGGTGAAGATCCATTATGTGATTATATGTTGGAAGGATTAGGATTAGGTAATGCAGAGTTACCAGTTATTGTTATCTTGGATGCAACTGTTGGCCGAATGTCTGTATGTGAAAAACCAGACGTGAGTGCTGAAATTATATCTGAATTTGTGGCTGACTACAAAAGTGGAAAATTAAACATGGTACCATTGCCAACAGCTCATCAGGTTAGTTCTTGTATTATTTATAGCAAAATTTTTTTAATAAGTATCTTATTTACTCTTTTTGAAAAATAATAAAATTTAATGATTAAATCAATGAAATTCAAGTGTGTTCCCTTTGTGTGAATGAAACCAAAGTTGAGTTCTTTTTGCTTTAGATTGTTTTTGGATTAAAAGTTTGTGGATTTTAGAAGGATTCGCAACCAACACGATTTGGTGGAATTCCTGCTCAAGCTGTTCAGTTTGCATTAGGAATCGGTCACTCCTCTTCAAGTACTTCATTTTCAGTGGAAAGCTCGTCACCGACAACCCATAATGTACCAGTAGTACTTTAAAACAAATTTGTGATTTTGTTTTGTTTTCTCTTTTACAGTCAACTTTAATAAACTCTAGGAATTTCGTGCTGTAAAGAATATGTTTTAAAAAGTTATCTCTGATATGTAATAGAATGACTTTGAAAATTCTGATAATTCAGCATTAAAAACTTTTAATAGAAAGGTAATCGTGATCCATAAATATTGGGAATTGAAAGTTATTAGAGAAACTGAAATGCTTATTGAATTAATCATTTTTGAATTATGCCATCATTATTGCACTGAAACAAATTCCATAATATTCGTTTCATAAAATTTATGGAAAGTTGTCATGAAAGTATTTTCCTTCACTTAAGTTTTTCTGTTCCATTTTATTTTTTCAGTGATATTTTCTTGAAAATTATTTTTGTGTCTTTTTTTTATTCTTGAGTTTACAGAGGTAATCATTATTTCGTTGCAGAATTTTATAATATTGAGTCCACTTTCAGATTTAATAGTAAAGGTACATTTATGACTTTGAAAATATCTATTCTAAAATGAAGTATTTGAATTTTTGATGTTTGATTCACTCAGTACAAATTTAATTAAGTGTTGTATTAAAATTTGAGTGAAGAAGAAAGCATCTGGAGGTCTTGGCATGAATTTCTTTCTGAAAAAACTGCAGCCAACCATCTTCGTGCAAATATGAGAATGTACATTTATAAAAATTAGTTTTACTCCTATGTGTTTTCAGTTTTAGTCTTATTCAGTTATTTAAAAAAAATGCATAATACTGGAAAAGTTCTCTCATCTTTTTATCTTCATTATTTTGATGAGATAATTTCCTATCTTAAAACTACTGGTGTGATGATTTGAATTTATTAAATTCGAGTTAAAGTGAAGTATTCTATACCTCTCACTTCGGTGTTATCATTTTGCTTTGCAAGACATGTGATCATCTTAATTGCAATAAATATAATTATTGTATTTGTTTACAGTTATAGTGTTATCACTTTCATTATTTTTCTACTCTCTTAAAACTTTCATTGTTGCCATCACTGTATTTATTATCAAAACAAATTATAGATTATCCTCTAATCACATGTGTACTGCTAATGCAGTTAGGATATAAGCATTAGTACAAACTAAAGTACTGAAAATAATAGCCTTCAAATTATGCAAAGTTGTTTGGTGAAGAATGAAAGTCACTTGACTGTAGTACTAGCGATGTTTTTGTAATCATTATTGTTTCCGTCATTACTAGCTTTACTGAAATTGGTAGCAGCAGTAAACGTAGTAAGTAAAATTTATAGTAGCAGTGGCATTATTTCCGTGTAATTAGTGAAGTGAGTCATTTCGTGACTTGGTAATGTGCATTCAAATGTAAGTCAGTCATATTGAGCAGATTTTTATGTCAATTTTTGCGATGATTGTAGTTGTGATTGATAACTATGCAGAATGTTTGTGTCTACATTTGATCGAGAAATCGATCTTAATGGATGTGTTTTGACTGCATCACAAATGCAACAATAAAATTTGCAAGAAGAAGAAAATAATATGCACTTCTCAAGTGAAGAAAAAATAAACATAAATATATATTTAGCGAGCAAAACATGATAGCATATTTGTTCACGCATTACTCATCAAAGGCATCACGTGATTGCTTATGATATCATTGCGTAAAGAGAGAGTTGCAATAAACGTATGAGAAGTACAATAATTGATATAACTAATATGATTAAGCACTGGTTATGATGTTTTTGTGTGCTGTCAAATTAATTGAAACTAAATCGGAAACTAGACTAAGAGTGAAAATTAAAATATACAGTGCATGAGATCTCTTAAGTTTGAAAAAAATGCTGCAATTTAGGTAAAAATAAAAGTGAAATTCTAGCAGAGAATTGAGTTCGAGTAATAAAATGCCTAAGAAATCCACGAGGAAACTAGTTCTTTACTCAGTCACGTAAAAACAGCATAAAAATTTTATTACTGAGAACAAATTAATCAAACGTGATAAAAGTGTAGGCCGTAATCTTAAAGCAATTTGCTGTGATTACAATACTGAATTGTCTAAGTCATATGTAGCATCCATAATTAATTAGATAATTAAAAACTGATTATTTAGTTTAGAATTTAATCGCATACTTGCATTTACTAATATGATTTCTATACATATGCAGAAATCATGTTATTATTGGTGCATTTTATTCTTGTTTCTTACTTAGTCTCGAAATTGATTTCAACTTTACAAGTCTGAATTTTCATTTTCGTCTACCAAGCGCTCACCAGTACATTCCTTGCAAGCTTGTAGTCCATCCAGCAAACTAATTCTTTGCAAGTTTTTACCGCAGCCTAGCTTAGTTCAATCTCGGCTACTTAAGTCTTGTCTCAGAAGCACTGAGAAATCGTCTTGTTCATAATAGTAACGCCTTATCCATAATAAGTATTCTTCGTAATCCATAGATTGTAATTTATTTTTTCATATCTTTTGTTATGCTGTTTGCATATAAAATATTCATCGTTGATCGTTGTCAATTACGCTTCTAACGCGTGGATCACTAGTCTCAATTGTGTGTTTATCTGAAGTGGGCGAGCATTTTTATTGCTATTCGCCTGTGAATTACTTATTTGATTATTAACTTTTAAAGAGTGTCTTTCCCAAGCACGTTGTTGACAACTTATTTGAATATTATTGCGCTAATAAAGCTTGTCTGTTTCATGTTTACGACTCATTTGTGTGTGATATCTGCTGTTTTAATGATGATTATTATATTAGTTGATTATTATTATGATTATTTGATCAGATTATTACAATTACTAGTGATAACGATAAGGCTGGCTGCCATCACTTCCAGTTAATTTTTACTCAATTTATCAATGATAAAATAACTGAAAACATTTTGGATATACAAAAAATGAATTAGTTTTGCTACTAAACATGTATTCATTTTCCATTTTATTATTTCCTCACTATGTCTGCGTAAAATTCCACTCATATAATCTAATATATTCATATTTCGCTCTGACTGCACTTCTTTCTGGATTAGCTTTGCAGACATATGTAAGGGATGTAAAGTAAGATTTCACGTGTTTTTGATTAATCAGTCGTATACATGCATTTGTGCTTATATCCTCCAATTTGACTTGCATCAGTGAGTGGGTCAGATGAATCATTCCAGAGATGATCGGGTCAAATGAGAGCTACTCGTCTGCCAATACAAAAAAAGTCATCTGAGAACGAAATGAAGGTAAAAAATGAGAAGAAGGACAAAATGCAGATCGATTTTTGGCATTTTATTTGTGTTTTCAGTTCGCTGTCAAACGAGTTAGTGCTGGCTGACTCACAGATGCTTCTCGCTCTTCTGAAATTATCATTGCAGTCGATAATAGTACTTTAGTATTCTTCCCTTTTAGCCTGGCGAATATGTCATTCCTTCCATTTCTGATTATTTTTAAATTCAAATTAACATTTCCATTCTCAGTTTCAGTTTTCGAATTTTGTATACAAACTATCCCTTCTTTCTTTAGTAATGAATTTGCAGTATTAATTTTTATTTCCAAAAT